CCAAATTTCCATCATCTCAGCAAGGAAATTAGCATACATGATCAGATTACCGACAGACGAGAACCGGGTTAAGGTGGGTCTTAGTTGGTTCGCCTAGTCGGCCATAGATTCGGTTGCATCGGTGCAGAGCACTCTAACAAAGGTTCTTTCAGGCTCATAGATAACTGTTACTCTGTAAGAAAGCTACACTAATTAGATTTATAATGGTTTTGATAGTTAAATTGGTGCAGAGCACTCTAACAATTGTAACGTACTATGTTGTTCTTTAACAATTAAAAGATTAGGGATAATATCTCATAGATATCGTCATGGTTTTTAGAACCGGACCGGTTAGCGAACCGGTCATGCTACCAGTTCACTGATTCAACCGGTCGAACCGGTTCGACCGGTCGGAAGAACCGGACGACGTCATAATTATTTAAAAAATTAAATAAAAATACCAAAAATATTTAATAAAAAATAATTTTTTATATCACAAGTCATATTCAAAGCAAGCCATAACATATATAAGTTAAAAACCATAAAATCAAGTGAAACAAAATGATTCAAATTAACTACAACATAATAATTAAGGTAAAACATATTAAATAATAAATATAATTATATAACTATAATTAAAAAAAATTGGGGTAAAAAAAATCATAACAAAATGATATTGTTTGGTTTAATTTTTTTTAAAAAACAATCTCACATGGCTAAGAAACATAGAAAAGCATCCCAAAAGTCTAAAGAGAAAATATGAGAACAAAACAATCTCACATTGCTAAGAAACATAAAAGCGCATCACAACTAACTTCTATAAATAATAGATGTAATTTGACATTCAAAATCATGGAGCCTTTTGGTGAGCATTGAGTGAATTATTATTTCACTTCAATCAAGCTCGAATTTTAGGCTTCAATCTAGCTTTTAATTTTTTTTGAGTTTAAGCATTTTTAAGTTCAAGTTTCAATATTATATTTCGAGTTTGAGTTGAACTTGATAATTTTTAGTTTGTGAGTTTGAGTTGAGTTGAGCTTACTTTTAAAGTTTTCAAGTTCGAGTCGAGCTCAGCAATACTCGAGTTCAACTTGGCTCGTTTAACAAACGATGTTGTTTGATTTAATTTTTTTTTTAAAAAAACAAAAATCCCGGTTTTTCCGGTTTTCAGCCGGTCCGGTTTGAACGGTTCAGCGGTTCTGGCCGGTTCACTAATAACGGTTCAGCGGTTCTGGCCGGTTCACTAATAACGGTTCAACCGGTTTAAATTGAATCGGACTAAGCAACGGTTCCCGATTGAATCTGTTGAACCGGCTGATCCGATTTTCAAAAAAGAGGATATCGTTCAATGAAGTAATGCAATAAGAAATATTAAAATATTATTAGATTTTTTTTACACTCATGTGATTACAACATGGATATGATTTTTTCATTATAATAATATTAAATATTACTTAAAAGAAAGGCTTTTTTTTAACAATTTTCTAATTGAATCCACGATAGAAATTTAATAATAATATTGAGTAAATACACATTTAAAAAGTTATTTTATAACTAGATTTTGCGACGTGTTTGGATAATCATCATAATCTACTCTTGTTCCTGAATAAGGTGTAATCAAAATAGTCAATTATACTTTTCAATTCATAAAAAGATAAGTACTATTCCTTATACATTATTTAATTTTATAATTAATATTATTTTAAATTTAAACTTATATAAATTTATAATTATAATATACATTACCAAATACGACTTAAAAAATTATAACAATTACACTCTATAAACCAAGTTCATACATAATTATAAGAATAATTACGAGCAAATATGGTTTAAAAGTTTACAAATTCTGCAGGGAAAACCTGGAGTAACTGGGGCAGTCATGTGGGACAGTGGAGTTGTGTTAGGGAAGTTTATCGAGCATGCTGTGGACTTGGGGATGCTTGTTCTTCAAAGCAAGAAGGTCGTTGAATTGGGTTCTGGCTGTGGATGAGTAGGGTACTTTTATTCACTTGAATTCTTTTTATTTCGTATATTTTAGTCTGTTAGTGATGTCTTCTGAAAACGCCATGGCTCTTCAAAAAGGATAGATTCAAAACTGACTTATGTAGCTGTCATGCTGTTTAGCAGCAGGATTTTAGTCTTCTTGAATTAGCATATCATACACATAGGATTCGTGATTTTGGTTTCTATTTTTATAAAGATTTTAATGAAGACATTTTCTTTTCTCACTTGGGAGTATGTTATTTGCATTTTCAGTTGTATAGGAGCTCTTTTAGGTGCTCAAGTTATCCTCACTGATCTGGCTGATAGACTGAGGTTACTTAAAAAGAATGCTGAGACCAACCTGCGACATGGAGTTTGGGGTTCTGCTGCTGTGAAGGAACTCACCTGGGGAGATGATCCTGACAATGATTTGATTGAAACTCCACCTGATTATGGTACTAAGATTCGCTTATTCTTTCCTGGTTACAAGCTTTGATACTGTTAAGTTGCAAGTGCTCAGTTTGCTAAAAAAAAGATGCTGATTTTCCATGATTATATAATAAAGGTTGGATTTTCTGGTGGCAGTGGAATGTTACAAACGTGCTTTGTTAGGCACAAAAGGCACGTGTCTTATTAAAATCACCTTGCCTGAAGGGGTGAAAGGTGCTTTGTTTGATATGAGCTGCATCTGTGCACCTAGGTTTGTGCCTCGTTTTTATCAATCAGCTTAGTTTAACTTCCACTTTAAATAGTTATTATTTTGTTTTCAATTGACTAGGCATTTACCTGAATCAGTGATGTCAAGGTCTGTGCTTAGGCATGCCTACACGTTGCGTCTTAGTGTTGAACAACAAAAACACTTTAGATTTCAGGTGAGGCACATTTGATTTGGCGAACACCTAGTCCGTTGCTTCTAGTTTTTTTTTTTTCCTTGTATGGTGATAGACATAAGAAAAGCCTGTTTGATTGAGTTTCTTTTAATTCTATCACTTTTAATTTTCTTAATTAAATGTACCTTTACTAGTGAAAAGGGATAGTATCAAACTTTCACTTCTCAATATTTGAGTTTTCAACAACAAAAATGGGACCATAAGGAAATCATATTGTCCAACAAAAAAAATGTACTATTGTTTTGTAGATAAACCATACCACACTTTAGAGTTTATTATCATAACTATATATTTTAAGCTTCTTTCATATATACACACACGCAAAAATATACATATATACATATTGTTCCTAACTTCACTTTGGCCAGAGCTTTTTTTGACAATATTGGTGTGAATCACGATTTGATAGTTATTTAGTATGGATGAATATTTCAATTATATTTCAAAGGTTTTACGTGCGAATGCACACATGATTAATATGTGTTTTTGAGGAGCATCATAACTTTTGTAGCCTTCTTGGGAAATCTAAGTAGGATTTTTCTTCTCAGAATTCCATAGTCTCAATTAACTATCTGATGAAGTTAATGCTGAATGTTTGTTCTAATAACGAAAGGAATTGAAATCATAGAAGAGAGTGGTTTAGTTATAAAGATGTGCTGCTATTTCCTCCAAGATCCATAGGCTAAACGTTTGAGGGGTTGGAACTTTTGCTCTATTAGTATAATGACTCTACTGACAATTGATATTGCCTATAGTTAAAGACCAAGGATATCCATAACTTTGGACCATAACGGATTAGTAGATAATGACATTGCCACCTGGCAAGAGCTAATGTGTTGAAATTTGAATGTTTGTAGTCACAGTGCTGAACTCCTTTGATCAAAATTTGGAATTTTTTCATGAGAACATAAAATATTCAATCAAATTTAATCTTGTATTCATTCATAAGTTACGTGTACGTACCACTTTTCTAGTACCAGGGTCAGATGTGATCTACAGTGAAGGAGCAGTTGTGGATTTACTGGATACCCTTATACTACTATGTGGACAACGAACGACAGTGTTTTTGTCCGGAGAACTTCGAAATGGTTAGAATTTCTCCCTCACACAAACATACTTTCATACATGCATACACATGCACTTCTCTTAGATTTTGCTTGGTTGGGTGGAAAAATAGAAGTATGCAAGGATGGAGTGGAAAAATAGAGAGAATAAATTGAGTGTGCTCGGTAGGAAAGAAAAGCAAGGATAAAGAAAATGAGAGGGATGATAATTTTTCATCCTCGTGTGTAAAAACAAATCATTCCAATATGGAATGCGAGACAGATGTGGTTTAGTTCAAAATATGCACTTTTCAAAGCTTAATTTTGTTTACCAAGCACACCATGTGAAGAAAAATAATAATTTTTCATGTGTTCCACCCCTTTCGACTTTTCATCCTTAAAATTTTCTTTTTACTTTACTAAGAAAAGCCTTACTGATATGTTACTTATGATACATAAACTGCCGATGCTGTGCTTGAATGATTTTTAGAAGCTGCAGTGAAGGATTTTGTGGTTGGGCGCGTGGATCAGTCACAGTGGCATCCAGACTATCGTACTCCGAGGGCTGTGATGTACACCTCTTTCAAGTCTACACGTGTGAAAATTACATTATCAAAAAAAAAAAAAAAGATAGATAGATGATTTCTTAATTCATGTGAGTTTGCATAACAAAACTAAAAGAAAGTACTTAGAAACATTAGAGATTACCAAATCTTATTTTTTGTTCTAATCTTGTTCGAGACTTTCTGCTATTCTAAAGGTGTTTTGGTTACGATTATCTCTCTAAAAATATTAACATTTTTTTAATGATCTAACCTTGTATCGAAGAAATTGAATAATCTTTATGAATAGGTAATTTGAATAAATGTCAGCTTAACATTGTTAGATGATTTAAAGTTTGGATTAACTCCACACTAATAGCGAAGGGAGGGGCACAGAATTCAAATTAAAGGATATGGCTTAAATTCCTAATTTAATGACAGTATAAGGACTAAACTCATAAATTAAACTTTCAAATATAAAACGGAAATTAAAGAATTTCAAATATATAAGTGAAAAAGGGAAATTAATAGACCCCGGAACTCCAAAGCGTGCTGAAGAAGCCACAATGCAGGCGAACGGATTTGATGGAAATGCGGCCTTTTCTGGCGGCGGATTCATGCCTTCTCAAGCAACTCAGTCCGTTCCCGCTCGTCCCTCCACCTCCTCCTCCTCCAAAGTATAACCTATTTTTAGCATATACTTTTGGCATTTTTTGTCTTTCTCTCTCTTTTTCCAGCTATTGTTGTTTTTCTTTTATTTTTTTAATTACTAGTTGTTCTTATAATTGTTCTTGTCTGTGTTCAAGCAATTTTGGTTTTGCGTGCTGTTTATTCAGCTTTCTGCTGGTTATTTATTGCGTAAAGGCCAAGTATTTCTGGTTTGATGTTGATAGTTCTTTCAATTGCTTACTTGTTGCAGAAGATAAATAATAGAAAAGTGAGATCATAGTAATTTTAATATATAGAAAATGATTATAATGCAACTCGAATTATGGTTAAAATATAGATGATTAAGTTTGGGTTAAAATGTTTTTTTTTTAAAAAATATTAAAAAGTTAGTAGTTAATTAGTGATCAAACTAATTGTAAGATTCCCCCCCCTCTTTTGCTTGAAGCATTGACGTGAAATTTGGTTCTTTGCTTCACTGTTTTCTTGAGCTAAAAAGGTTTTACTAGTATTATTTTGAAATTCTCAGAACAGTGATACAAGGTGCTTGATTCCACTCACAGTGAAGCAGTTGAATGACCTCTCAAGAGGTGGAGAATCTGATATTTCCATTGATGGCGTTGATGTCAACAATGTAGGCTTTGATCTCATTCTTTACTTCTTTTGCATAAATAGTCAATAATTATCTAAATGGGTTTTGAAATTTGGTTTATTGTTCTTAGATTTTGCTCGTGGGGATGGTATCGAAGATAGACAATGCTGTCTCAGATTGTACTTTTAGGATTGATGATGGCACGGGATGGGTTGAATGCACCAAATGGTTCATCTTTTCTCTCTTTCTTTCAGTTCTTATGTTTAAATTTTAGTTTTGAGATATATTTTCTTTGAATTACTTGATTCTATGCTACGATATGCTTATTAATGTTGTGTAGGATTCATGAACGTGTAGACTCAGCTGAAGTAGATGTGATCTCGTAAGTTATTTATCATTTTACTTCTAAGTTTATGTAGTCTAATTTGAGATATAGGTCTAATTACTCTCGTTGTTCAATAACACCAGCAAATGCAACAAAGTTGATTGTCGTAATGCCAATGCGTGAACCATTGGCATTTTTTGTTGTTGATTTTTGGGCAAACTAATGAAATCAATATGTGCAAATTGCAATCAAGTGGTTTATTCCATTCCAGGGTTGGAATGTACGTTCGTGTCTGTGGCCAGTTAAAATGCATTCAAAGTAGGACTTTACACATCTTTTCAATTCGGTATGAATCAAAATTTTACACACACATGGATTCTTATATTATATTTCTTCTTTTCACCTTTTCTTTTTTCTTTTAATGTCGGAGAGAAAACATCTTTGGCAGCCTTGCTTAATTCTTTTCTTGCAGCAATTACATCACCATTTTTTCAGATAAATAGAATTAATATCATTTTGGTATATTTGTTCAACAGGAAAGAGCGTTGCATTCCTTACTTGGACGTTTGTGCTAGAACTAGGTCAAGTTTTTGTTTTCATCCATGTAGTATTATACTCAACTTGGAAATTTATATATTTTACTTTTATTTTCCTAATGGAATTAAAAAAATCCAAATCCTGACATTGAGCTGGGTTTTTAAATGACAAATTAATACCAATTAACTATTTTGATAACCATAATTTCACATTTTAAATGACATAATTATTTAACCGAGTTAGTGATTTGGACTAAGACATAACATTAGAACTATAATTTCCCTTAGGATGGTAATTTGATGAATGAAGATATGCACCTTGGTTTCTTGATCTGTTGTGGAATTCGGGTTAATTTCCACCAATAATAACAAATTCATCTTGAAAACTATTATCTAGGTGACTAGTGTGAAAACGATTGTACTAAAAATCACACAAAGGTAGATTCCCAAGAAAGAGGAGGGGTCACAATGGTCCATCTTAAAACTCACTTTCCTTAGACAGAACTACCAAGACAAGTAATTTTAATAGGACAATAATTAACAACAACTATACCCGACAATAGCTATTAAATAGACATAAAGATAACACCAAATTTAACGAGGTTAGGCCAAAATTATGCCTACCTCCTCGAACACTACTAAAATAATATTTTACTAATAGAGGAAATATTACAAAGAGAAAGAAAGAATACAAATAGTCTTTAATATAGAAGACGACTTATATTTGTGGGATGCTTAACTAAGGAGGAGGATGACTCTATTTATAACAAAAGAATTTCCCCTCCTCCTTATACACAACCAATGTGAGACTTTGCCAAAAAACCAACAAATCTTCACCTTGGCAAATTCCACACACATCTCTCAAAAATCCAATCTTCAGTAGTGTCTGCAAATTCATCTTTTAATTTGTAACAATATTGACCAAGTCTAAACAATGTTTAAACTTGACCGCAATTATCACTTTTGTCAACATATCAGCAGGATTCTCAGTGGTCCGAATCTTCTGGATTATGACTCCACCTTCTTCTAGAATCTCTCGTACAAAGTGATATCAAACATTGATGTGCTTCGTCCTTGCATGGTAAACCCAGTTCTTTGCTAAATGAATAACACCCTGACTGTAACAATGCACTTTGATGTGCTTCTGTTCCATTCCTAATTCACCAAGCAACCCTTGAAGCTAAATTGCCTCATTCACAGCCTCTGTAACTGCCATATACTCTGTCTCTGTAGTAGACAAAGCCACTGTTGACTGTAAGGTGGACTTTTAACTGACTGGTGCCTTTGCAAATATAAACACATAACCAGTAGTTGATCGACGCTTGTCCAAATCACCTGCATAGTCTGAATCAAAATACCCAACTACACACTGACCATCTTGTTTGTCCTACTGAAAGACCAAACCAACTTCTACGGTATTCAGAATATACCGCATAATCCATTTCACAGCTTGCCAATGCTCCTTTCCAGGATCATGCATATACATGCTCACAACCCTAACTGCCTGTGAAATATCAGGTCTCGTACACACCATTGCATACATCAAGCTACCAACAACACTTACATACGGAACCTTTGACATGTATTCCCGTTTTGCATCATCCTTAGGTGACATGGATGCACTGAGCTTGAAATGAGGAGCAAGAGCTGTACTAACTGGTTTTGACTTCTCATTCATGTCAATATGTTTTAGTACCTTCCTCAGATATTCTTTCTGAGACAAACAAAGCCTCCCCAATTTTTTATCCCTTGATATCTCCATGCCTAGAATCTTCTTTGCTTCACCAAGATCCTTCATCTCAAACTCCCTGTTCAATTGAGTCTTTAGTTTTGCAATTTCTGTCTGACTCCTGGAAGCTTTCAGCATATCATCAACATAAAGAAGAAGACATATATAGGATCCGTCTTGTAGCTTGCGTAAATACACACAATGATCATATTTGCTTCTTGTGTACTTCTGCCCTATCATAAACTTGTCCAATCGCTTGTACCACTGCCTTGGAGATTGTTTCAATCCGTATAGCGATTTTTCTAATTTGCGCACCATCTCTTCTTTTTCAGCAATTTTGAATCAATCTGGCTGAGTCATGTAGATTTCCTCATCTAAGTCTCCATGTAAAAATGCAGTTTTTACATCCATCTGAACTAGTTCCAAATCCAACTGTTCTACCAAAGCCAACAAAATTCTGATGGAGGAATGTTTTACAACTGGAAAAAATATTTCATTATAATCAACTCCCTCCGTTTGAGCGTAGCCTTTAGCCACCAATCTTGCTTTGTAGCGGATGTTATTCTTGTCAGGAAATTCATCTTTCTTTGCATGTACCCACTTGCACCCAATTGCCTTCTTTCCCTTCGGAAGACTAGTTAGTTTCCACGTTTGATTCTTTTGAAGGGATTGCATTTCTTCATTCATAGCGATCCTCCACTTTTTATGTTCTGAACTTTGGACTGCTTCATTAAAAGTGGCAGGAACGTCATCAATTGCAATTGGTGATGCAAAAGAGACCATATTAGCATAACGAGCAGGTTGTCTAATAGTCCTCTTTCCCTTTTTAAGTGCAATTGATTCATGTTGATGTGGAGGTTCTTGGGTCTGAACCTCTTCTTCATCTGACTCTTCTTCTACCATAGGAGAGTCATCATCAGTTTCTTTACTGACTGGGTCAATTTTGCTTCCTTCAAACTCCACCTATTTGGGAGTTCCATCTGTCTGCTCCAATTTTTCTGAAGTAACCTTTCTCAACATGGTAGATTAATCAAAGGTAACATCCCTGTTGAAGATTATTTTCTTTATTTTTGAACACCAAAGACGATAGCCTTTCACACAATAGGTAATCCTCATAAAGATCGCATTCTTTGCTCTTGGATCCAGCTTTGACTCCTTAACATGGTAGTATGCAGTGGAACCAAACACATATAAAGAATCATAATCTATAGCAGGTACTCCAAACCATTTCTCTAATGGTGTTTTACCACCAATAGCAGTCGATAGTAAGCGGTTGACAAGGTGACAAGTGTAGACCAAAGCCTCAGCCCAAAATTCTTTGCCTAACTCAGCATTAGACAACATACACTGAACCTTCTCCACTAATGTCCGGTTCGTTTGCTCTGCCACCCCATTTTGTTATGGTGTAGATCTGACAGTGAAGTGTCTGACAATACCTTCTTCTTCACAGACTTTTAGAAATGGATAATTTTTATACTCTCCACCATTGTTTGTACGGAGACGTTTGATTTTTCTGCCTGTTTGAGTCTCCACCATCTTTTTCCATTTAAGGAAAAATCCTAGCACCTCATCCTTTGTCTTCATTGTATACACCCAAACTCTCCGGGAAAAATCATCAACAAATGTGACATAATAGTGTGTTCTTCCCAATGAAGTTGTCTTGGAAAGCCCCATACATCTGAATAAACATAATCCAAAATACCTTTAGTATCATGGATTGATGTTCCAATTTTCACCCTCGTCTTCTTCCCTTTGATGCAATGCTCACAAAAAGCTAATTTGCAAGCCTGAGCACCCTTGAATAATCCTTGATCTATTAGCAATTTCAATGATTTTTCACCAACGTGCCCCAAACGCATATGCTATAACCTGGTTGCTTCTGACTCCTGTTCATCAGTAGAAGCTGCCATTGCTGCTGTCCCAACAATTGTACTACCCAGAAAGTAATACACATTGTTTCTTTTCCGGATTCCCTTCATTATCACCAGTGCACCAGAAATAATCCTCATAATCCAATCTTTTGCCCTCACTTCTAAACCTTTTGACTCTAAGGTGGCGTTTCGTTCGTTGGAATGTTTATGAGGGAATTGGAATCTGTGAAGGAATTAGAATCTGTAGGAATTGGAATCCAATTCCATATTCTGTTTGGTTGGCAGGAAATGGAATTGGAATCTAATTCCATATTCTGTTTGGTTCGCAGACATGTCAGATGAATTTGATTTCAGTAATGTAAAATGACAGAATTGACCTTCTTGTTTTTTTGCTTTATTTTAGTTTATTTTACAACTTACATGTAGTAATATATTATAAAAAATTAAAAAATATTAAATTTTCATTTTATTGATTGATTATTTATTTCAATAAATTATAAAAATCATGCTAATAAACATTATAAGTTAAAATCATCGCAATCAAAATATGTTAATAAATTACCAAAAGATAGAGCAATATTTCGATACATTCCAATCGGAGTATGTTAATTAGTTACAAAACAAATACCAAAAACTATTTTTATTCAATATATGAATTAGAAATTCGACTCGACACGACTCAAAATAATAAAAAAATTATTTTTATTCAATAAAAACATTGACTTAATTGAAAAAAATTATATATAGAGGGGTATTATTGTAATTATTCATAAATATATAAGGTAAAATTATATTTTTTTTCGGGTCGGTACGGTTTTTTTCACCCTAAACTTGAACCCGACCCGACCTGACCCGAATATCACACTTAAAAAAACCCGACCCGACTCGACCCGAATATCACACTTAAAAAACCCGACCATACCCGAACAAAATAAAGTTTCATCCGAACCGACCCGACCCGAATATCACACTTAAAAAATTATTTTTATTTAATAAAAACAGTGACTTAATCCGACTCGACCCGAATTATATATATTTTCGGGTCGGTCTGGTTTTTTTCACCCTGAACCCGATCCGACCCGAATATCACACTTAAAAAAACCTGACCCGACTCGACCCGAATATCACTTAAAAAACCCGACCCAACCCGAACAAAATAAAGTTTCATCCGACCCGACCGAACCGAATATATGAATTAGAAATTCAACCCAACCCGAAATTATAAAAAAGTATTTTTATTTAATAAAAACAGTGACTTAATTCGACCCGACCTGAATTATATATATTTTCGGGTTCGTCCGGTTTTTTTCACCCTAAACCCGAACCTGACCCGACTCGAATATCACAATTAAAAAAACCCGATCCTACCCGACCAAAATAAAGTTTCACCCGACCCGAATAAATGAATTAGAAACCCGACCCGACCCGAAATAATAATAAAATATTTTTATTCAATATATGAATAAGTTACCAAAAGATTGATGAGGGTAGTATGGTTAAATTTCAATTCCCTCCAACAAGGGAATTGAATTCCATCCATTTTTGGATGGAATTCACTTTCCCTCATTTGATGGAATTAAATTCCATCAGGGATTTCAATTCCCTTAAAAAACTTGAACCAAACATAGGAAAGTGGTGGAATTGGATTCCAATTCCCACCAATTCCAAGGGATTCCATCCAACCAAACGCCACCTAAGGTTCATATAGAGATGAGATTTCTCATTAAATCTGGTACATAATGGACACTTGTTAAGGTTCTGATTGATCCATCCTGATTCCTCTAGCGAATTGAACCAATCCCAAGTGTGTCAAGAGGGGAATTATTTGGTGTGTAGACAATTCCACCTTTTAGTTCTTTAAAATCAAAGAACCATTCTCTATTGGGGGTCATATGGTGGCTACAAGCTGAATCTAACAGTCATGAACTGGAACAGCTGGTTGATGGCGTAGCAACGAATGCAAAATCTGAATCTGCATCATCATACCCGACCACATTTAATTCTGAGACAGCCTTTCTCCTTTCAGGTTTGTCTTTGTTCTTTAGCCTGAGACATTCTTTCTTCCAGTGCCCTTTTTCTCGACAAAAGGCACATTCATCTTTGCTCAATTTGGGCTTTGACTTTGATCTCCCCTCTCCTTCCTTTATTCTGACTCTTCGAACAGCCTCTAACAACAATAGCTTCTTCTTTGACACTTGTGTTTTCTTGTTTGTCTTTCTTTCTTAATTCATAACTATACAAGGCAGCAGTTACTTAACTGAGAGACACATCAACTTTCCCATGTAGTAGAGTAGTTTAAAGATACCCAAACTCATCAGGAAGTGATCCCATTAACATCAGAGCCAGATCTTCGTCTTCAAAAGTCATGTCCATATTCATCAGATCAGTCACCAGCTGATTAAAGCTAGTAATGTGATCATTCATAGTGGTACCTGGTACATAGTTGAAGCGGAACAATATCTTTTTCATGTAGAGCTTGTTCTGACCGTTTTTCTTCAAAAAAAATTCCTCCAGTGCCTTTCACAATTTACTTGCAGAAGTTTCCTTAGAAAATGCATACTTTTGCTCTCTAGAAAGACACGATCGAATAGTACCACATGCCAATCTATTGATCATCTTCCATTTTTTCTCCTCAACATCATCTGATTTCTCTCCTTCAATAGCAATGTCTAGACCCTGTTGAAATAGGGCATCTAGAACCTCACTTTGCCACATGCCGAAATGATCGGTGCCATCAAAATTCTCCACTGCAAATCTAACATTTGTTACAGTTGTTGATGACGATGTGGATGTTTTTGTTGCGTCTGTCATTTCTGCTACAAATTCTATTTGATAGCTGTCAATGCGGAATGTCAATTATCTCAAAGAAATTTTTTTTGATGTGGAAGATCAGCCTAAGCCGCAACCACAAAGCATACTAAAATTCACCTTGGAAATTATTATCTAGGTGACTAGTGTGAAAACGATTGTACTAAAAATCACACCAAGGTAGATTCCCAAGAAAGAGGAGGGGTCACAATGGTCCCTCTTAAAACCCACTTTCCTTAGACAGAACTACCAAGACAAATAATTTTAACAGGACAATAATTAACAACAACTATACCCGACAATAGCTATTAAATAGACATAAAGAGAACACCAAAATTTAACGAGGTTAGGCCAAAATTATGTCTACCCCTCGAACACTACTAAAATAATATTTCACTAATAGAGTAAATATTACAAAGAGAAAGAAAGAATACAAACAACCTTTAATATAGAAGAAGGCTTATATTTGTGGGATGCTTAACTAAGGAGGAGGATGGCTCTATTTATAACAAAAGAATTTCCCCTCCTCCTTATACACAACCAATGTGGGACTTTGACAACTAAGACATAACATTAGAACTATAATTTCCCTTAGGATGGTAATTTGATGAATGAAGATATGCACCTTGGTTTCAAAGTTGATCAACTAACTTTTAAGGGAAGGGATAAGTGGGTTGGATGGGTAGAGTACTGAGGTAATGGAGATTTTTTGTCGACAAGGGAGGTATTCGATTTTACTCAAGATCTCAAATCCAGTCTTGTAGACAATCACAACTGCAAAATTCTCAGCCTCTTTTGGACAATCTCACATTGTTCCACAAATAAGGTGGTCTTAACTTGAGAGTCAATTATGCCAAGATGTTTTGGGGATTCTATGAAGCACTTTGACATTGTTTCAATTTGAACAAAATAAAATTAAGTAGCATTAACAGTTGATCAAACCACATAATGTCATGGTCTAAATGCAGTTCTTGTTCTAAGTCTGGTATTCCCTGACTATGCTTTTGTGACTTCTATTTCTCACAATTGGGTGTGGTTTAAAAATAGTTAAGACATTTTGAAGTTCAAAAAGTTACTATGCCAAGGTTTGAACTTTTCTGTTTAGGGTGGACTTCATTAATGGGTTTCATGATAGTACGTGGTTTTTCAGAATCATGTTAGGGCAACTTTTGGAAAAATCATTATGTGCTAGATTTATTTTGGTATTAAACCCATGGATAAGATAGGGCAATGCTTCCAGTGGTTTTCTCTAGTTCTAGTTAAACCAAATAGATCACGGTAACCATGGAACAACAGATATTCTTTTTTTTTTAAAGGAATATTGGAATTTAGTTTATAGTCCCATATTTCATAGGAATGGAGTTTCCGATCTAAGTTGTTATTTTATTCTGTTTTTGCCATTGTTATGTTCATGTCAAATTTTTCTGTTGCTTTCAGGCCAGTTACTGATTTTAATGAGATTACAAACCACTTCATTGAGTGTATATATGTTCATTTGTTCAACACCAAATTGAGGGTAAGAATTGACGCTTTAGTTTACAAAATGACATTCCAGCTTATTTGAGTGTAAATTTTATGTTTTTATTGTTAGGAACTATTTGTTTTATCTCAACTTCGTATGCAGGGTGGCATGACCACTCTGGCTGGGATAACAAATTCTATTGGAAGTACTAGTACTACCGCTCAGCCTCAAGTGGCAAATTCAATTCTTGGCAACCCGATAAAGGGCTATGGCTACCAAACTAACCTCACAAGCCAGGTGAAGGAACTGAATAGTAGAATACCTTGCTAACTTCTTTGGTTTACTTGATCATGATCTTAACCTTTTTCGTTTTTATTTTTGTGGTATTCTGGCCAGTATCATAACAATGAACAAATCAGTGTTGTGAGTTCAAGGGTCTTACAACTCTTGCGCCGGCCAGCATGCCTGTGAGTTTCCTATGATATCCTGTAAAATCAAGTGTGTTATGTGAGCCTGATTGATTTGGTTGAATTTCCCCCCTTTTCTAGCTGTCCCTGAATTATGAATTGCATTAAAAAAACTGAACTTCTAACGAGTATGCAGATTTGAAAAGGCTCCTATAACATGTATGTTCATTAAAAATGGAAAGCTGTCTTTAGAACAAAATGAGCAAATTGATTAAGAAATAGTTAGTTAATTTTGGTCCATAAAATCAAGTTTTGAACAATAAGTGATCTTCTAGAATTGTTTCCGACAAGTTGGATGATGGATGTTAAGAAAATGTGCCAAAGATGAAAGTGCAAGCATTCTTACCAATCATGGTGATACTTGGTGAACTTATGGTTTGTGTGTTGGACAAGCATTGTTAAGTTGCAGTCATGTTTTCAGTGGATCCGAGACCGGGATAAGCTCCGAAGACATGGCTCGAGAGCTAAATGTGTCATACGATAAAATCAGGTCTGTCTCTTTCCTAATGCAAGCGCTACTTTGACTTTAACCGTATACTGTATGCATGGTCTGTTTTTGGGTTCGACAGGAAAAGCTTGGACTTACTTTTATTAGAGGGACTCGTTTACAGGACCAGTGATGATCACTACAAATTTACAGATGCCTGAGGTATGTGGATGTGGTGTACAAGCTAAACTGTAACGTCACGGCTTGTGATGCAAACCTTCTTTTGGTAAAAGGTTGACCGATCGTCGAAACGGTTATATTATCTATTTTCAATTTAGGTCAGTTTGGTTTTATTTTGAAAAGTGATTTAAATAGTATTGTAAAAAATTATTTTAAAAAATACTTTTAAAGAATGCAGTAAAATTTCTAATTATGGTTAAGTTGTAAATGAGCTTTTTACATTACTTGAGAAATTGAAGAATTAATATGTAAAGATAGGAAAATTTGTATGTTGAAAATTATAATTAAGAGATGAAAGATTGAATTTAGATCAATATGGAAAGTTGTATAAGATAGAGATACAGTTCGTATGTTTTAGAAAAGTTGGTGTAAAAGGATAATTATATAAAAATTAATGCATTAGATTGAAAATAATGAGAAAATAATTTATATGGATACAAACTAAATATTGAGGAACTTATTTGGTTATTTTTGAAATACTGAAATTATAATTGAAATAAAATTTTATTGGTGGCTAAATGTGAAATGTTGGAAGGTTTGATAAATTGTTGTGAGAAATAAATTATTTAAGGGAGTAAGAAGGGTAATTTGATAGAGTTACAGTTAGTTTTCGATTGGGTAAAAGAAATTAGTATTAAATATACATTAATGTTATTTTCAGAATATTTATACAATTATGAATTTATTATTTTAATTAAAGTATGAATACATGATTAAAATAGTAAACAAATTTGATAATCTTTCTATAAATAATTTTTTATACGAAGAAGGATATAAGATTCTAAATAAAAGCCTAGTGTAAAGACTTGAGAGACAGTGGTATGCGAGGTTGAGTGTTGTTCATCGAACATTCCGAGGTACATTTGTGTACAACATAGTTATCAGATATATTTATGTATTCCGGATCATAGGTACAATGTTGTTGTGTTCAACAGTACATGTACATTTACAATGCACCTACGGTGCAATCATAGGGTACCAAATGTACCATACAACTACAGACCACAAGTAGCAATGCTGCATATAATACAGTACAGTGCACCTACGGTGCTATCACAAGGCACTAAATGTGCCATATAGTCACAGATTACGTGCAGCTTTGCTACATACAGGGCACATATATGCCACACAGTTACAGGCAGTTTATACTGCACATAGCATAGAACACTCAAGCATAGATTCACATGCTTTGTATTCTCATGATTATACATTGGGCCATAATACAAAAGTAAAAGGTATAGAACAGTAAAAGTTACATTACATTAAGAGAAATAGTATAATAAAAGAAATTATAAAATAAATGAATCATCACATAAAAAGGAATAGCAGGGTGAAAGGAACGATATAGGAAAAAAATAGTACAGTGAAAGGATTAGTACATGATAAAAAGTAAGTATAGGAAAAGAAACGATACAAGTTTAGTTATTATATTTTACAGTAAAATTTTATAAACATAGTGTAAATTACATTGAATGGTTTATAGACAAGCAGTTATATTGGTTTGAATCGACATATGAATGATATGCATATCTATGTAATGATGATAATATAGTAAAAGTTGTTGTCAGCGGGTGGTAGTGTGGTGGTAGACAACAACTAAAGGAAATCTATTTTAAAATAAGTGTGATTATAGATGCTATAGATATTTTATATATAGTGTTATAAAGAGAAAAGTACATAAACCGTGCTCTAATGAAAAATAATACAATATAATAAACGTAATAAGGAAAGGTGAAATTATGATAAGATTCTAAGTGGTTATGTATGAGTGTAGTAAAATTTTATATTATAAAGATAAATCGATTAAATTTTAAATTAGTTCGATTTAAATTATAATATGAAATAATATTAAACTGCCTAGATATTGAGTGAGATAGGGTGTAAATTAAGAATTAAAATATTATATCATGATTTTGTGCAATTAAATAGTCTGTTAATAAATGTTAAATTATGAGATTTTAAAAGAAACACGAAAAAAAAACTTTCCCTCATTCAAATAGTAACTGTTAAACATAAACATGTGACATCCTTAACTTGTATTTGAAAATGAATACGAGTTAAGGGTGTTACAGATATGGAGAGTATCGATACTCAGGGTACCTAGGATCGATACTCAGGGTACCTAGTATCGATACTGGGCCAAAGTTTCAGCAACATAAACCATTCTTTTTGTATTGATACTCGTAGGGGTATCGATACTTGACTATAGGGTATCAACAGTGCAAGTAGAGTATCGATACTACCCACTTTGGATGGTTAGTTTTGACTTCTTTAAGTCCCGTAAGAGCTAAGGATGATCCGTAGTGGTGGAACTTAGTATGTGGGGGACATAACTGACCAAAGATACCTAAAAACACTCGTAGGAGTAGGTTACAATTGATATAACCATACTAAGTGTAATACGTCATAGTATCTTCAGTCGAACAAGTATTAAAGACTTTTATGCTGAGTTGAGGTCCCACTGATATCCCAGATAGTGAAAGACAATATGCTTTCAGTTCAGAGGAAATTTTTCGGATAATTGGGTTCAGGAGATCAGAATAGGGTATCTAGTATGTTCCCACAAAACCAGTGAAAATGTACAGATCATTTTTAAAACAGTTCCCCAGAACTACATAACCTAAGGGAGCACATTGGGGCCTGAGAGTCTACCCAAGAGTCGCCTTAAGTCCATAAGTAATTACCAGTCGGTGCTGAACCTATATAAGGAATTACCAGCAGCGACTGAACCTGCCAGAGATAGGAATTACCAGTCAGTGCTAAACCTATACAAGGAATTACCAACAGCGACTGAACCTGCCAGAGTGTTCATACCAGATCCCAAAGTATCCCAAATAAAAACATTTTCAGTCAGTAAACAGAGATATTAGAAATCAGAGCAGAGATCAGAACAGAGATCAGAGAAAACAACCATGTGATCAAGGAACACATTAGAGGTTCCAGATATTATTCGAAGGTACATGATAATCTTATCGTGCAGGGGAAACACGAATCTTCAATATATCGATATAATGCCTGAAGTTTGAATCACTATTGGAAGAGTTCATTAAATGACATGTTCATTAATTATTCAAAATGTGATTTATCCGGATCATATAGTATTCAGACATTTTTCAGAGGCACCATGTAGTCAGAAAGGCATTCAGAATCATTTTGTAACATCCTCAATACCGAGTTAGTGACCAAATTGTAATATTTCAGGATTTGGTGATTAAAATGGAATAGTTAAAAAGTTTAATGATTTATTTGAAAATATTACCTTAAATATGCTAGTAATTATAAAAGGCATTGAAGGGCAAAAGGGTCATTTGACTAAGAAATGAATTAAAAATAGGATATGGTAAAGATATATACACGTGGGAAGGAGATATTTCTCCAGAGCTTTCTTCTTTCTTCTTCTTCTTCATACGTGAAAGAGAGCCGAGCAAAGGTAAGCTTTCTGATCTGTTAATTATTTGTTAATTTAAGGTTTGGGTTTTGATCGTTAGATGATAACTAAGCTTAAGGAAAGCTTAAGTTATCTTAAAATTAAAAGATAAAAGAGTTGGGGAAGATTAAAGATTTGGAGTTCTTGAATGAAATTTTGATATAGAGTTTATAATTAGAATTGGAAGTTGGATTTGACTTGTCATCAATCTAGTTAAGACATATGAAGTGTTAGAAGTGGAATTAAATCATGTTGCAAAGTTGGTATAATTTTTGAATCTCATAAGGATGATAGGATTTTGGGGTTTAAGATGAGATAAATGAGTATAGATTAGTTTAAATAGGTGTATAAGAGTTAAAAATAGAAAAAGGGATGAAATATGAAGAGTTGAGAGAATAAAGAAGGGATTTTTGTGCTCAAAGTATTATTTATGGGTTGTGTGCATCGATGCATTTTCAATGTGCATCGATGCACTCTCAAATAAATGAACATCGAATGCAATTAGTGCATCGATGCATAAGGAGTGCATCGATGCACTTGCTTGAAATGCAAACATTGAATAGGATTTATGCACCGAGGCATGGATAGTGCATCGATGCACCTGTCCAGGGATGCATCGATACATGGTGTAGTGCATCGATGCATGCCTTCATTAAAAGTTAAAAATGGCTTTCTTCTAGCCTCTGAAGTGATAGCTTAGAATATATCAATTAGTATATTGATATTTATCAATGTGTTATTATTATGTAGATATAGAATGAAAGCTTGTTCCGGAACAATTGAAGAATTAGAATCAAACCAAAGCAAGTAAGGCTAAGGTGAGTGCAATTTTATTGTACTTATGTTATCGAATAAGCATTGGCTTGCGATGAGCCAGTGACGGAGTTACTATGGTAATAAGTAACTCGTCAAATGTTATTTGATTTGTGAATTCTATGTATGCATGAGTATATGTGACATGATTTATATGATTCATATGATATATGATACTGAACTACAGGAATATATGAGAATATTGTATCAGTGGAATGATAGGTTTGACATGTTATTTTATGTGATACGTGTTTAAATGATCACAAGACATGAGTTATATGAAAGAGAAAGCATATGTGATACGTGAAAGTGAATCATATGTTTACATGAAAAGTAACATGAAAGTAAACCATGTGACTATATGCACATGTGATATGTGACAGAAGAAAAGTAATATGTGATCTTAAGAGCAATGAAAGTGTATAAATGAAAAATGCCCATGTTATGTGTATTGAGAGCTAGAGGTATAGTTGGCATGCCAAGAGTCGAGGGTTTACCTATGTTCTAAGGAACATATGGACAGTTTACCGAGGATCTTTATGACCTCTGGATAGTTACCGAGGATCTTTATGACCTCTGGATAGTTACCGAGGATCTTTATGACCTCTGGATAGGTCATTCGTGACATTTATACGAGCTGTGGTGACAGCATAGTGGTGCACAACCTCAATAGACTCACGTATCTACAGTTCTCACATGTGTATCATGGGCTAATAAAGAGATAATATTAATAAACTGAAT